GTATATATATATTTTTATATAAGTATTTATGTATGTATGAATGTATGTATGCATGCATGTATGTATGTCTATATGTATGTATTTGACACGTATCCCTCCCTGGATATGGAGTTTTGGGGGGTTTTTTAACGACTGCCCTGGTTTGTACCCTTTCCGGTTTGCGTGATCCGAGTTCTTTGTTATGTTCAATGCGTGTTTAATGCACATGTGTATTTTCTAAGTATACGGGAACTATATGTCATTCTTGTTTAAACCATCATAGAACAACCTTTTTGTTCTGCAATGTACGTTGTCATACGCATGTATATATATTAAGATTGATAGCTGGTCGGTGAGTTATTCTACTTGGGGTACGTCGATGCACATTTTTATTGGCTACCGGATAGTATCTTCAATTCACAGTTCATATTAGCCTTGCTGTGCAAAGCGCTGTGCAAAGCGCTGCGCAATTTTGAGACATTGATAGACATTTGTGTATCTCTCAAGGTACCTGATGGTCAAATTAACCATTTAATGCGCTCCATAGCAGTGCAGTGCATGTGTCCAGTTATGCGAGTTGGAACTTCACAGTATCGTACACTCTTCAAAAGACTTTTGATTGTCTTATCTCTATAGCGGGCTGATTGGAGGGCAAGCCATAGAGATGAGTGTGTGCTAGCCAAACGAAAGAAGAAGAAGAGAAAGGTTGTAGCGTTATATGTGTTATTGTTGTGTCTCTTTTTCCGGTATCACGTCAGCATGTTGACTTGGATCATGACAGAATTATTTTGTTACGATCGGTGTTGTGTCTGCATGTCTATGCGGAGAGTGTCACTGTGAAACTGATCAGTCAGCGTATAGAGGCAGTTATACAAAAGGTACAGTGGGATTTTATATGCTACGAGTGTATTTGCACATCGCTGAAATTTTACTGTATTATCTATTGATTGTAATAGGGTGTTGATATATATACTTATGTAAATATCAAGGATTGTGTGGTGTTTGTGCTTTTAATTAATGTATAGGTGTGTGTGATATACGCAATGGTATCTGTGGGGTCTCATTCATGTGTGAAATACAGAAGCAAATTCAAATTCAATAGATATTCGATTATCATCGAGTGCTCCAATTCAAGGAACCGCGTATTTATTGACGTCAATCGACCGATGAATCCCAGGCACTTCCTATGCCTCAATGTTGGCTCATATTGCATTCGATTATTTGTGGGTATTTTTCTAATCCTTCATAGTCGGGCGGCAGACGATATTGTAATGAGCTATTGGGGTTTGCACCAAGTATTGCGCAAATGCTCGATAGTGCACCTTTGTTGTGGTTGTATACTTCTATGCAGGGTATTCGTTGTTGTCATGCTTACCAATATTCTTCTTTTATATCATTGCCTTTTACCAACTGACTATACGTCATAAGCATATCGTCTGTACCATCATACTCGTGTCATCTATATTAACAGATCATGATACACGTACTTTTTTACCAATTCACTTTTTATGTACCACTGCCCTTTACCAACTGACTATACTTCACAAGCATATAGTCTATACTATCATACTCGTGTCACCTATATTAAAAGATCATGATACACATACTTATGCCATCAAAATCAACTCTCATCTACTCAGAGGGATACCACCGCCACTGCCAGCGGCAGCAGCACGGAAATGACAAGCCAAACAGACACTGTCAACGCCACAAATACAGACCCCAACGCAGTTACTGTAGATACCAACGAACTATGTACAGAGACAGAGAGTGAGCCTCAAATCAAGAGACAAAGAGTGGATGACGATACGGTAGTACTAGCAGAACGCTCGTCTATAACTACCGAAAGCATTGATACGGGCGACACACCTATGCAATCAGCAGTCGCAGAGACATTGACTCAACCGAGAGAGCCGGTAATAGACTCACGGCCAGAACAGACAGGCACGCCAGTAGATCACGGAGACATCACCAGCCAACACAACTCATCACACACACACACAGGCCAAGGAGACGACGGGATAGACTCTCACGCTATACACCCTACGTACGACAATACGACTTCCCCAGCAACAACGAGCGCACAGGAGAGTGGCTTTCCAACTTCTATAGCACAAGAACATGTAGTAGATCAGGATGAATACGTATCCACCCACGAGGCTCCGCATACGCACAGCATTATTAGGACAATGTCACACTCCTCGTACACGGCACCGTCGGATCACACGGATGCCATTGACAGCTCTGTCACTATCGCGGATGCCGTTGACAGTTCGGTGACTACGAGCCCTTCAATTCATCCGCGCAAAGAACGCACAAACGGACGTAATGAGTTGGTTGGCTCGCATAAAGATGAACGTAGCCACATACATCACACAGAAAGGGATGAGGCAGACTCAGATGTGCACGACGTTACCATGGCAGCTACCGAGACAGCAGCGTCAGGGGGAAATCATCAGGCCACGGGTACGCTGAGCACACACGATAACACGGCAAACATCGACTTGAATGCTAGCGATGAGGACGAGGTGCAGGTGGTGTTTCCATGTGCGTTCGACGGATGCAGGAGAGTGTTTGATCGCGTTGAGGATTGGCGTTCACACTCAGGTACGCACATGAGTGGGAAGGCCTTCCCCTGCAGGTGGGTGGGGTGTGGCGAGGGATTCAGTGATGCCGAGGCGCTTGCCAATCACATGTTCCAGCACACAGCACTGCGGTGTCCACGAAAGGGCTGTGAGAAGATGTACGCATCAATACACAAACTCAGTGCACACGTCAAGCTGCGCCACAAGAGTAAGAGGAAAAGGCGCTGACATGTACGCATGTGTCCGAAATAGTCTCTGCGCATACATACAACACCACAGTTACAGAGAGTTTCCGGTTCAAGCCCTTTTCCGAGCAGGGCCTTAAACGCACATTGCCACGCCAGTTCCATTCTGTCCATCAGATCCAGCCTATACAGCTTTGTCACATCAATCGAAAAAGAAGCGCACACTGAGAAACTCTGAGCATGTGTATATACTTTAGTATCTATATAGGGCTGGCGCTGGTTCAGTTTCGTCAACACGTGGTGCTGGTATGTCCTCCGCACTCGCAAGTTTCCCATCAATGGCCACATGCTTTTTGTTGCTATATGCGTGTTCTTAAACCTTCTGTGGACGACTATATATATATATATATATATATCGCCAGTTCCATTATGTCCATCAGATCCAGCCTATACAGCTTTGTCACATCAATCGAGAAAGAAGCGCACACTGAGAAACTCTAAGCATGTGTACATAATATAGTATCTTTATAGGGGCTGGCAGGAGACGGGTGTGTGTGTGTGTTTCTGAACATTTGATCACAGCTCACTAAACCGGCAGGGTCGTATTTCATTTGCAATGCCGAGGGGTGTAGACTGGCTTCGACCATATTGGAAGCACCACTTCCAATTTTCTCAATTACTTCTGCGTATGTCCTTTTCAACGCGATATGAAATCACATGGCAAAATAAAAGCCAAAAACTTGGCTGGGACCTCTACTACTTTACTTTATTAAGCAGCGTAGCTAATGTTGCCGTGGAATGATATTATCTGATGTGAGTGAGATTTACGTTTAGCATAGGTAGTTTTGGCTTGCAAGCGGGACGGCGTTTAATTAAGAGAGCGTGCGTTTGTTTGATTCACATTTGGTTGGCTGACTTGAGTTTCCCCTCGTACGTTTATTCTGAATAAACGTGATAAATGATTGTGCTATTTCCTACCATAGTTTGTTCCCATCGTGTTATATTTGAATATTAGTTCAAGACGGGGATTGTCTCAAGATGTGAATTTAACACATCCATCTTTACCGGAGGGTTGCTGTTGGAGTCTGATATACATGAGTTCAACTCGACAATTAAAAAGCTTATGAATATATTGTAATGAATAATATGCACCGCTGCTAGATACTCTGCAAATGCATTCCTACACTTCAGTCAAAATCCTTTTTCTGGCCTATCTTGGCCACTGTTCCTGTAGTCTGCGACCACATCCTTCGTGAGCCAAATCACTCACTAGCGTCCGAAACGCCGGTACAATTTAGCCGGGCGAATCTCGCCGCGTACAGATGCCTGAGAAATACAAACCTCATGGATATTTATATAATATTGGATTATATATACGATAACTAGAAATTTTGCACATGTATTCTGCATTGTACATGCGCCAGCTATGGGCGCTAAATATATCCCAGAGGTGCACTAAACCTCTGCGACGAGTCTTTCGCTGGCCTTATTTGGTTCACTGCTACTGTGGGCGATGACCGGCTCTTGTGCCACATCACTCGGCGGCCTGTCAACAGTTCGGTAGACAATGGCTGATTGAGTCTCGCCCCTTACGGCAGCCCCGTCCACCACTACAGCCTCCACTAACTCATCCGGAGCCTCAAACATAGCATCGAGCAAAACACGCTCCTGCAATGGATGAAAACAAGAAAATCAATGTTTATGTTATTGTACTCGTTGTCCTGGTATGTCTTATTAATAGCAATATGTGCCGTATTTGTAGGTGATGTGCGCCGTATTTGTAGGTAATATGTGCCCCCTATTCAAAAGTAATATGTATGAAGGTGCTATTAATCTGTGTGTAGTATGAGTGGGGATTGCTACATATCGCATACGGGAGTGTTACGCTGCACATGCCGTATCGTTTGTGAAACCATCTTGTTAACAGAGCGCGCTTATGATGTTCTTGATTTGGATAGCGGCTGGCTACGGTTAATCGGGTGGCAAGAACAGTGCACGATGTGATATGAATATCAGCATAGGATTTATAAGGCCAGTATTCAAAGAAAGTGTTATCAATCAAACAGACGGACAATCTCGTGTGCAGAGGAGAGCGAATATTCTAACACAGCACAGAACCTATGACTGCAATGTAGTAGCTACAATCGCATGATTGTTCATGGACGTACCGAAAACTCTCTATTGGGAATGACACAGGTCATGCTTTGTGTACTTGTTGCTCACCGTAGACATGATAAATTATTCCAACATGAACAGGATTCTAACAATGCATGCATTTGCATATTCAATTCATACACTTGCAAGTGGGCCGTAGGTCGGATGCAATGCATACGGGAGAGTTCTACACAGCTACGATTCTCCGACAAAGTTACATTCTGAAACGAAAGGCTGGAAAGCACTTCGTACGTGCGATGCAGATTTTACGGAAGATCTCTGTGCAGCTACTCTCCCTTCGCAGGGCAACACTCATAAACCAAACTTTATGAAGCAACAGACGCGGAGACTCACCAGAATACCACGCAAGCCCCTGGCATTGACTTTCTTCTTTAGACACTCAGCCGCAATCTCATCCATGGCACTAGCCGTGACATAGAGGTCAGTCTGAAACGGTGTGGAGCATAAAGTCAATCACAGGACGGTTTGGAAAGATACCACAGGGACTCAGGTAAAGATCGATGTGACAAAGTGGTAAGGATGGATTTAATTGTCCTGCGAGTGCATTTGCGAACAGAGTTTGTAGTGGCAGACAACAAATCGTCGCCGATCCTAGGCATTCACGAGCACAAACAACATACAACTTCTAAATACCTTATCCATCCGCAGAAGAGCGTGGTATTGCTCGAGGATAGCATTTTTTGGTTCACACATGACCCGTTTCAGATCGGCCTTGCTGAGAATATCGAGACCCACATTGACCTGAAAGCGGCCCACGAACTCCGGAATGAGTCCACACTGAATTAGGTCGGTTTGTTGCACGTGTTTGACCAGACTGGTGGTGTCCACCGTTGTTGCACCGAATCCAATCGTCTGCTCACACCCAACCCCGTGAGTGCAAGGAAATACAATAAAATGGAAGGGGTGAGATTGGGGGTGGGAGCTTTAATCTGCATGTGCGTCAATCGCACACTGTCAATTGGAAGGTGTGCGAGCTCTCATGCGCAGGGCCTTGGTGGTTTGGAATTTGAATTTACACTTTGCGGGTGGAGCATACTTCATGGCTCGTCAATTTTGAGTGCCTGGAACATAGAGTACACATGATCCTTTCTAAACTCGAGAGAGACTACAGTAACTCTCAAGTTGCAATGTACTATCAACACATAGTTCTGGGGGTATTTATAATCGCACACAATTTCACACGGCTCACAACTATGATGATACAATCTTGAATATGCCGATCTATACAAACTAGCTATGAGCACAATGTCAAACACGACACAAAAAGTTCTATATAATCCGTTAGCTTCAAAGATACAAGCGTCTCTGTGCTTTGTATTCGTATGCATTCGGTATCCCATATACATACGAGAATCCAACCTATGCAATTGTAATGCAATATACAATCATTCGAACTACTAACCTCTCTCAAGCATACGTACACAACACATCTGCACCTCTCCCGAATTGAAATATGGTCATCGCCGACGAAGCACACACACAGACTCTATTTAATTTGGTGGACACTGCGCTCGACTATCCCGTCGAATTCTGTGTACACCCCACTCCCCATACATAGTACGCTGGCTGCGGAAATAGTGTTCGTTTCATGTCAAAGCACGTGGAATATAGTAGACATACACACAACCTCTACAAACTCAAGCCAACCAACGTACCGTAGGTGCCTTGACTGTCTCGTCCAATTCCATGAACGCTCCACTTCCCACAAACAGTATGTTGACCGTGTCAACGGTGTATATACTCTCCTAGACATGCATGCAACACAAAGCAAACACACTCTGCACTATGCCGCAGTACCACCAACTTACCGTAGGTGCCACTCTGCGCTTGACTATTTCGTCCAATTCCGTGAACGCACCACTTCCCACGAACAGTATGTTGGCTGTGTCAACGGTATATGTCACCTCCTTCGCACCACCACCTGCTGGACCCCTGCGCTTCTCGGTAATATCCACTTTGGTGCCCTCAAGTAGCTTGAGCAGACCTGCATAGAGAAAGATAGAGGAAGAGAAGTTGTTAGGTGACTTTCAGGTATATATCGAGCGTCGTGCGTGAGTATGCACAATATAGAGTAGAAATGAACACAATTCACCGCATGCACGACCCGTGTGCTCATCCGCTGAGATCACAGAGGTGTCTTCAAGCAGATGGAAAAGTCTGTGTGGATGAAGGGGATAGATCAGATACCTACGCGAAGCGGGATAACAAAACAACCGAATACTAAGCGAACAAGAGAAAACACCGAATACTAGATACAATTTCGAATATGGTTCTAATTGTGTACAGCTGGGACACTCTGATATGAGGCGATGAAAAAGAATGCGCACTCGAGTACTGCAATTATTCTCTACCAACCACATAGTAAAGTCATGCTTTCGTCACAGCAGCACAAATAATATCCCACACTCCCAGAGTGTATAAGACGATGGAAGTGTGTGTAAGGGAAACTGAGCGTTCACCAATAAACCAAACATCTTGAGTGTATACACCTTACGTTTCCTTCCCCATCCCGTAGCCAATCACAACAACAAAAACGAATGTAGGGAACACAAGCCACCATTTGGCATTTGCATTCGGGACGAATGTACCATTCCACACCTCTCAATACCAATTATTTTCTACATCCCCCCAAAAAAAACCCCCAAAAACGCAGAAACGGGACCTTCAGTGCTCAAAAATATCCAGGCAGAGCATAGCTCACGGGATATTTGTATACGACGAGCTTTTACTCGTGTCATCGCAAGCTACATACAGGCTATCATCTCGTGTACATGGAAATTGCATACAGACTAACAGCACAAAGAGCTTCGAAAAGTTATAACACAGGCTAGTAGCACACGTGCTCTTGCGCGTTGCCAAAGCACTAAAGCGCTCACCGTGCTGTACCCCTTCGCCACTGACATCTCGCCTGACATCTGGTTTCCTGCACAGCTTATCAACCTCATCTAGAAACACAATGCCCTGCTCAGCAGCACTCACGTTGTACTCGGCATTCTATACAATAAAAAAACACAGAGACGTCAATAACTGAAGAAATATACTATGAGAAACCCATAGATACACAGAGGAAAGGCAAGGATTTAGAGGGGAATTGTGAAGAAGGCGCATGACACGTACACGAATAGACGGCTGAGGGAACGGAAAGCAAGATAGACTACAAGCATGCGGTAAATGGGGTAGTATATGGGGGGCTGCGAGGGTGTAGTATCAATGCAAGTGTGGAAGAGCGTGTTAATAGGCCATTTCAAATCGTTCAATACGAACTCATCCCGCCTGGAATATAGCAGCAAGGCTTGCGCAAGGGTGGGTTGTTCACATCAGTGGGGTATATTCAGCACTCGCAAGTGTATACGCACATGCACATGCAGATACACAAGCAAAGGGTTGTGCATAATGTAATTAAATGCACATACCTGTATAGATGTTTCGTGTACGTCTATTTACATCGACACGTGCAAGCACAATCACAAGCACAATCACAACGCGTACGCAAATATATGTTTAACATCTGAGTAAGTGCGTGCCAATATATTGCAGAGTTTAGGATTTTAGAGGTTTACACCGCACGTTGCGCATTCTCCAAGATCATACGAAGATACGCGGTAAGAAAGCCGCAGCACTGACGAGTGACCAGAAAGCGGGCGCGCGCAGCCGCAGAGCTACGCCAACACGCTCTACAACTAAACGTACCTTGAGCAGTCCAGCTATGACCGACTGCACATCCTCACCAGCATATCCCGCCTGCGTCAAGGCTGAGAGAACGAAAGTGTGCGCATTAGTGAGGCTAGTCAGCAGATGTGTGCATATGTACCTGTCCGCATATTTTTCTATTTATGGTATGTATTTATCCACGCGCCAACGAATTGCAGTGGTACTATTGTATCCGTTCGTGTGCTTGGTGAATAAACTACAGTCCATCAATATTTCTACAAAAGGGGTGTTAAAACGTACGAAAACGTATACATGTCCGTGATATCTCTAGCTAACAGTTGAAATTGAGGCTGCAGCTATTAGGAAATGCTTAACGAGGGCTTGTGATGATAGAAACGTATATGCTTGCAGCAGAATACGTTGAGATGGACTCCGGTCCGCATTAGTATTCATATACATGCGGAACCAAACTTCGAAGACAAACAGAATATCACTTAAGTACGAGAACAATACATACGTTGAATGTGCATAAGGGTATAAGAGCATTAACATTTTGCATGTACACTAATACGTACATCGCATCATATAGGTGCAAGTGCGTCCCCTAATTCGAGCGAGGGTACCATATGGGCAAACCACATAGACGTACACTAACAACAAAGATTTGCCGAATGCGTCCATCTATGTGAGTGTACGTATTTCATAAGCAATTTCTTCATGTACGCATACTTATCACATACACAATATGTTGAAGTATACGTATCACATACGCAGTCGTTCATGGAAGAAAACGAATCACATACGCATTCGTTCATGCAAGTAAACGTATAACAAACGCATTCGTTCATGCAAGTAGACATGTCTACTTACTCGTGCAGTCGAAAACGACGAATGGCACATCGAGGGCTTCGGCGATAGTTTTCGCTATAAGCGTCTTCCCTGTATAACACCAAGAGTTCTGGAGTTTACTAAACGCCAAATTCTGCCACGGAACGCGAAACAGCAATAAAAGGTATGTATTGATACAAAAAATGACAGAGAAGGAGTTTGTATGCTACATTCGAGTCTGCGCAACAACAATACGAGTACATAACTAGCATTCAAACTATATAGGAGAAGCCCCTTGATAACGGATAATTAGGCGATGAGCCGACACGCAAACAACCAGACATATATATACTCGCAAAGCGGTTACGGCAGGCTGTTTACAAACACGAATAGCAAAACACACCATCCAATTGTTGTTACACATGTAGAACACTAAAGTACAATCATACTTTACCTACACACACGTATAGCGCTATAGTGTCATTATCTGTACCTGTACCCGTAGGCCCATACATCATGACATTGGCCTTCTCCAGGTGCGGCATATTCTTGCGGCGCTCACACTCTATACTCAAGCGTTCCGCCAGACTCTTTTTCGTCAGCCCGTCCCCACTGCCCTCAGACGCGTCTTTAGGTGCACTGCTTTGACCCTCCGCATCGCCATCCTTGTGCTCCTGTGTGCTAGTAGCGTCTTCCCCACGAATGTCTGTGTCTGTGTTGTGTGGAGCATCATCTGTGTGTAGCGGTATACCGTCTGTGTGTGTGTGCGCATGTGCATGTACATCGCCCGTGTGTGTGGACTGTGCTTGTGGTGTACTGTCCACTTGCCGTGCGCTCCACACGGGATGTTCGGTACCATCCTGCTTCCTCAGATGGGCTGGATTCATATACTCTTTGTCCCCCACCTGCGTAACATGGCAACACGGATATTAGAATCGGTTTTTAAATCAGGACTGAAAGGCAAATTCACTGATAGCGATTTCAAAATTTAGCAAAGGGCAATCTCAAATCGGAAATCAAACTGCATTTCACTGAGGAAACACAGCAACGATCCCACAATCGATTGCACTCCCATGCACTAGCGGTCACAGACTGTGGAAGCAAAAACTCGCTCGATCAAATAGCACACCACGGGACATACGACTCTGTCACAAACGGTATGCATAACGACACCAGAATATGGGTCTCAAACTACACGCCTACCCAGAATATAGTGTGTATTTGCACGCATGATGTATCGACTCTCCTTAAATATAGATTGACCTACAATCAGCTGTATGTACGTGTAACAAAGAGTGTACTGGCACGCATGATGTATTGACTCTCCTTGAATATACATTGACCTACAATCAGCTGTATGTACGTGTAACAAAGAGTGTACTGGCACGCATGATGTATTGACTCTCCTTGAATAAAGATTGACCTACAATCAGCTGTATGTACGTGTAACAAAGAGTGTACTGGCACGCATGATGTATTGACTCTCCTTAAATATAGATTGACCTACAATCAGCTGTATGTACGTGTAATAATAAAGTGTGCACTTGCACGCATTATGTATTAACTCTGCTTATATATAGATTGACATACATTCAGCTGTATGTCAGTGTAAATATGCTATCGTTCCATATTGTGAAGGAAGACGTATATTCACTCACCTTGTATATCGATGAATCCACAAACAGCCACATGTACTCATACACATCTCCTACACAGATAAAAGACGAAAATCTACTATCGCTCACCTTATATACTGCAGGCCCAACTTCTAGTTGGTGTTTGCTGCTGTCACTGTACAGCATAGACCTCCTCACACGTTTGTAATGATTGTACACAGCCACAGACATGACCTTCTTTGCCTGGGACTGGCCTATAACGTGTTCGTCCAGCATTGCCATCAGCTGATAATACATCCAAGTACATTGAAAGATTGAGTAGACATAGACATGTTTTATTATACATAAACGTTCAAAATGATTGCACACAGCCAAAAACATGACATGGTCTTGTTCGCCTGTGATTGGCGTATAACGTGAAATATGCGCCTTGCCACCAGCTGCAAATAAGATCGAATCCACCAAATACAAATACCAATGCAAATCAGATCCAATATATATATATACACATACGATACATGCATGCACTATGTATGTACATATGCAGGGGTTGTACACAGTTAAAGACATAACCTTCCCATGTGTTTCGTCGAGCATGGCGCACCAATAAACCTAAGTGATGGAAATTAATGTGACGTGTATGTCGTCGCCGTAAAAGTCTATCGTATACACTATCGCCCTACACTATCGCGTATGTCTCAAATGTATGATAAGTATTTCAGCGCCTCAAAACCTGATCTCAGAATGACACAATACAGCAAGCAATTTCGGGAACGGTAAAATTCGGATACAATCAGGACAAAATTATATCTCTCAACCGGGCACAGTACAATTCACATGACTCCGCAAAACAAATAACCTTCTCAGAATACGCACCTCCCGCGGCCTGGGAAGCAGCACATCCAGGATCGCCAGATCGTCGGCAGTACCGCTAACATCAATATCGCCATATTCACACGTTATTCCGCATTCCGAACAAGTAAATTTGGACCCTTTCTTGTCTACCCAGGGACCATATAGTGTAAAGTATAGTATAGATAGGTCATTTGTTGTGAGTTCCTAGTTTCTACAGTGGTATACGAAAAATATTGGATACGATGGCGATGATACGCTCTGGAGACCTTTTTTGCATATCAATTTCTAGCTGGCAAATACGCCCGTATCCGGACTTTCACATTAATAATATCTAAGTAAGTGTAGTACAATACATATGCATGAAACAATATCACACTGTAATAATTCAGTCATACACACACACACACACAAACACACATAAACACGC